ATGGGACTCTAAAAAGCAGACAGAGCTTAATCTGAAAAGTCACTTCTGTTAATCAGTTCTATTCCAATGAATGGTGACTTCAATCAGTTCTATTTTCCAATGAATGGTGATTTATTAAAGAACCTTCAGGACTGGTTTATACTCAGGAGATTGAGTTCCTTAAGGAATGTCTTTGGGATGAGTTGAGGTACAGAGTATTCACTCATATATGTTCTTTAATTAACTGGGAGGACATACCTGAAAAATTTGGAATATAAATTCAATAAACCCATAATATTTTCCTCAAGATCTGTTTCCTCCATTAGCACAAATACCAATTTTTTTCTGGAATAACCTGGGATTTTGTATTTGAACTCCTCAGCATTCCAAGGAACAAAAGGATAACTCTACCTCTGACAACTGAGGGTTTTCTCTGAAAATAGTTCACTTTGAAAAACTGTAATGTTTTAATGAAAATACAGTACAGTCAGGAACTGAAACAGTTAATCTTGGAAGTCCTTCCACAGTTTTTCAGAAATTCCCAATCCACAAACCAGCCACAGGAAGGTTTCCTGTGAAAATCCTCAGGAACTGACCAAAATGTCGAAAATTGTTATAAAAGAAAAAAAAAAATTAAATATCAAGTGATTCAAACCCACTTGATTAAGGGATGAAAGTTTAAACAGTGAAGCTGATCCTCATGTCCCACTCAGACTCATTTCACTAATCACCCTCCATTTTAAAGTCAATGGAAGTGCAATCAACACCTTTAAGGAGCCCTACACTCATCCCAGACAGACACAACTTCCAGCTGTACAGGTACAACTGGAACTCCAAAAATACAGCAAGGCTCTGCTGGTTCCTGGGGGGGCAGGACAAGGAAAGTCTTCCCTTAAATGCAGAGAGAAATTGCTACCTTGGCCCTGAACTCACAACCAGACCAGCAGGGAGGGTTTGGAGGTGTTACAACAGCCACAGTCAGGATATTGGGGTTGAATTAAAGCAGAGCAATACTCACTACAAACAGACAAGTCATTGCCACAAAAACCTCAGTGCTACAAACGTTCGAGCCAAGATTTTGCCTTTCTGACAGAAAGGCAACAGAACCTGGGACACTTCAGGGCTTACAGTACAAGGATTCCATCAAATCTCCTCCCCTTGAGCCAAGCAGAGCGTTTGATCCCAGAGGAAAGGGCCCTGCAGTTCTGTCCTCTGAAGCTTTTCCACACCAACCCTTTCCCTCCCTTTTCCCAGATCCCAAAGCATCTGCTTTGGCCTTGGCAGACACAGTTCCTCCCTTTTCCCCACCCTACAGCTCGGGGGGATTGGAGAAAGCAAAGATGTTGCCCTCTCTCTCCTGCTGGAGCCACCAATGACAGTGCTGTGGAGGAACACTTCACATCCAGTGTTTGAACATCACGACCAGAGCAGGCAACTGACTTCAAATCCTGATGTTCCAGATCAGCAAAGGGTAAAACCGACTCACTAGTCCCTCTCTCCAGTGGCCATTCAAGGCACACTGCTCATCTAGGCACAGAGATTGGATGAAATCAATGCATGAACCCTTCTCTCTGGTTTGCCCTGGTGCTGGCAGCTCTTGGGCAACACTGCACACTCATCTGTTAAGTGAAGCACATAACTGGAGGAGGATCCTCCCTCAGAGTGAGCTGGGTCCTGCCTGGGCAGGGCCTGGAGACCTTTGGGAAGGAGTGCAAGGAGTGGACGCAGCCCAGGAGCAGAAGCAGGCACTGCAGCATGGCCTCCTCCACTGCCAGGGACTGCAAGAGAGAAATGCTCACTGTCAGAGGCACCCACAGCATGACTGTGCCCCTCACACTCACACGGGACTGGCACACTGCAGAGCACCCACGCACACAGCTCCTAACACTCACACAGAGCACTCACAGCTCCTCACACACACCCACACTGCACAGCACCCCCACACACAGCTCCTCACACACACACACACACAGCACCCACA